CCATTCATTTGAGACTAGTTCTACCTGCACAGTTCTACAAATTATTCAGAATGTGAAAGGTGATTTAATAATCCAATCTGTTATTGTGAATACTCCAAAGAAGGCCTGTGGTACAGGGATTTAAAAGGCAGACACCAAGCATCACTTTCATTTTTATTTAATATTTAAAAACAAATTTGAGAAAAGTTTGGTCATTAAATTAGTTTTTACTAAACAATATGAGTATATTGTCAAACCCTATTACCGGTAGGTTCAATCAAAGCTTGAATAATTTTATTAATTTGTTTGTTTATTTTTTTTTCTTGTGTACTAGTAGGAAAAAATATCCTTAAAAATTTTAAGCATTTTAAAAGTCTTAAACTCTATGCTGTTTTTTTTAAGACGGTTAGAATATGAAAATAAGCTTTATACACATTATTAACATGGTTGATATTTCAAATCTCTACACACCGATAGAAAATGCAACACAAGTTGAACACAACACTTAAATTCAGATCACACTAAAAACCAGTTAAACCTTCGAGACTGCCACAACTGGTTAACAAATTGACCAATGAGGAAGCTTGTTACAACTAAAAAGCAACTGCGATTGGTTTATCTGGTTTTTATTGTGCTCAGGGACCAGAAGGGTCACAGAAACGGTAAATGGAGCAGGAAAAGCAAAACAGGATTAAAATTTGTACGTTGAAAAAGACAAAGAAAATGGAATAATGAATACCCTTTCTAAAAATGTGATTACAGGGCTGTATGCTTGGCTTATTTTACCAGGAGCATTAGAGGACCCAAAAGAAAAAATGTAGGAGCACAAAAACAATATTAGGGGTACTATAAATTTTCTTAAATACCACCTTTTTAAAAAAGATTAAAATTAACCTGGCTGTAGCTTTTAATCACTTCTGGGTGCAGGGAATATTGGTTTTTAACATGCTTACAAAATGACGTCCAGACTGGGAGATAAGTTGTGGGCGTTTCCCATTTATTGAAGTCAGTTTTTAAATAAAAAAAACAAAAAAACATCCGAGTTGCGGTCTTTTAAAAGTGAGTTGGACAGGTAATTATGGAAAGTGTGGATATGACAGAATTTAACCAGTGGACGCAGGCCAAAGAAAGAGGTATAAAAAACGTATAACCTCCCGTCGCCCGAACCTTTTCTGCCTTCTCACCTTTATAGCTTTCCCGTCCACACACCACCAACCTAAACAAAACACCAGCACCCAAACCAAATAAACCAGAAACAAACCATACCTAAACACCAATATCTATTAATGGGTAATATTCACTGTTTCGTGAGGCTGTCTTTTCTAAAATGGGTCACAAACAGCGATTTAGGTGCCTTCTTCTGCCCATTGGAATATAAGCTTTGCTTCAAAGTCAAGCGAAGGAAAAATTTGGATCCAATCGGATTTAAACGTGTAAACCTTGTTAGCATTGTGGCAAAAAATCATCAAAACACAAAAATTCTGGAGCCATCTCCTGTTTGCTGACATTTCTGATTAAAAACCAAAATAAAGACCTGTATCTTTATCTAAATAATAATTTATGCAGGTTTTACCTCAAACTTTGTCATATTGCATTTACAGGTATTTATCTGTAAGACCAGTCAGAATAATATCACTATATTAATTTGGATTTTCTCAAAATCTGCTTTCCTCTTATAAATAACAAGCATATCAGAAAAATTGATGTAAAAAAGATCATGTTTAGGTTTTATAGGTACAAGACTATTGTCAGGTTACACCTCAGTCACCCTGAGCTGATAGTGCAGGACTGCGGGGCTAGGTTGTCCCAATTCACAGAAGATCACTTCTGGTCTTCCTTGTTTTTGAGGTCTTTGAAGGATCTGGCCAACATGGCAGGTTTTTCTCAGGGATTTTTATGAAGGTAGTGGATTATCAATACCTACAGCAAGCAAGTCATTTGACACCAGTCAGTGAGCTGCTCCCACCAAAAACAGACTGTTTCTTGTTTTTAATCCAGTGTAATATGGAGGACCAACTCTGCCATATATAAAGATAAATACATAAATAAATTAATGATGATTAAATAAATAAGCATACAATTAATTGCCCCCAAAAATACAATAAACAAATAAATGTAGGTATAAATTAAATTATACAGTGAGACGTAAATGTATACATCTCTTTTAAATTAAAAGAGATGTATACATTAGCTTCTTTATTTATTTGCCTTTGTAATAATTACCTTATTTATTTATTGTCCGTTATAATCTTCAACTTTATTTATTTACTACTTATTTTTTAAAGTATTTATTTATGTGCATGATATAATATTTTTGTCTGTTTTATTTTTCCTTTGTATTTTTTTACCCTCTTTATTTCTTCAGCTCTATTTATTCCTGCTTCCGTTTTTACATTTCTGTATGCATTTCTGCCTAATTATGCAAATGAGGAGGTTTAAGTCTTATTTATTTCTGTATTTATTTTTAGATATGGCAGAGTAGGTCCTCCATAGTGTATAAGTGGTATTACAAAGGTGTTTATAATCAGTTGAATTAATTTTGGTATTTAAATATTAATTAAGAAATAGCATTTGGGAATACATTTTCAAATTACAGTATTTAATGGATTAATAGATATAATTTACAATTTCCCCTTCAATAATTCAATTTAAAATGTGCAATTGTATTTATTTATATATTTTTTTGCCTGATTTAAATGTTTTTAAAACGGCTGGTTTTCTTTTCTGACTCTCCAGGTCCTCCATACACCTCTGGCTGAAAATGATTTGAGGAAAAGCCAATAAAAACTGTTCTGTTCAGAAAAAAAAGAGAGAGTTTAGCCAAAATATGCTGACAGGAAACTTTGTCAGTGAAAGGTCTTAGGACATATATCTGATAAGATAAAGCAAACTATCTATAACACCTGGAGCAGAGGTTAATCCATAATCTCAGTTTAATCTTAAACTCAGCGACATCTTGTAACAAAACTGATTTAAACTCTTTTCAGTTTTCCTTAATACCTTCCGTCTCATCATGTGATTTAGACAGCCAGCAAATACTAACATTAAATTTACTAACATTTAAATAAATATGGTTTCAATTTGCAAAAATACATCAAAACGTGTTTTATTCTAAATTATTTCAAGTGAAAGTGTCTTCAAATCTATGCACTTTACTTATGCCAAATATCCCTTCAAAATTATGTTAAATATGGATTTAAAATGTATCCAGGGAAAGGGGGAACAATTAAAACTTTAGGGATTATTATTATTATAAAGAAATACGGAATAACCTGAATAATTTACATTCAGCATCAAAAGTTCTTCCGAGCAACAGCTCCCCCCAACGCGGCGCATCAAAGCAGTTAAAATGGCTGCACAATAAAAACGGAGGTATTGTAGAGAATTAACGCGGGAATGAACAGAGTTACATAAATTAATCTTAAATCTTAAACTCACTGAGCAGCTGAAGCCATGATGACGGGTCCTCGGTCCAGAGTGTCACGTGGAGACAGCTGGGTCACGTGAGGTCTGTGAAGCGGAAAAAAAAAACATCAGCTGACAGGAAATGGTGTTGCATTCAAAATTTCAGGAAATTCCTATATCCACAACGAAATGACTAATTAGAAACATAAATAATATGATTCAGAGTGGATGTCTACACTGAGTAGCCAAGAGGTTGCTTTCATTCGGCTGTTTTACGATTACTAAGAGTTTTACACCTCGTTTTACGTCAGTGTTGCAGTTTGCAGCCCATATTACAATATTGCCAGTGCGCAAATGCAACTTATTTTTCTTTCTGTCACGTGTGTTTAATGAAGTGGTAAAAGCTACGGAAGAGGATTAGGGCCACTGAAAAAAAAGTTAACTGATTTTTAAATTTTATTTCAGTTTAACATGGGGAAAAAAGTCAGAATTCTGACTGAATTCTGACAATAAAAAAAGTCAGAATTCTGA